CCCTGAGTTGGAGTCTTGCTCTCTCACCAGGCTAGAGTGCAGTGGTGTGATCAAGGCTCACAGCAGCCTCGGTTTCCCAGGCTTAAGCAATCCTCAGCACCCTCCCAACCCCACTGCCATCTCCAGGAGCTGGATCTGGAACTACATGTGCAGACCACCTCACCGAGCTAATTTTTAAATTTTTAGTAGAGATGGGATTTTGCCATGTTGCCCAGGCTGATCTCAAATTCCTGGGCTCAAGAGATCCACCCACCTCAGCCTACCAAGTGCTGGGATTGCAGGTGTGAGCCACCATGCCTTGCCCATCGAATTTTCTGTATATCAGTGTTAGTGTTGTTTTCAATTCTTTGCTATTTCAAACAGTGATGTGATGAATATTTTTTAGCATACACCTTTGAAAAAGTGTCCAATATTTCTCTCAGACGAATTCCTAGAATTAGAACTGCTAGGCCAAATGTCTACACACTCAGATTTTTGAAAGGGACTGACAAATTGTTCTCCACGACAGTGGTATCCATGTACACTCCTACCAAGAGTCTCTACGGAGTATCTGTTTCTTGACATTCTTTTACAATGCTACCAAATGTCAAAACTTTGCCAGGCTATTGGTGAGAAACGATATGTGAATCATGCTTACATTTTCATTTTTCATCATCAATGAAATTGAGCTTGTTTTATAGTGACTAGCCATAGGAACTACTTCTCTTTTGAAGCACATGTGTTTGTCCTTCAAGTCGTTAAAAATCTGACCTGTGAGAGTTCTTTGTACCACAGGGATATTAACCCTTTCTCTGATCTATAGGTTGTGAGGAATACATTTCCAATTTGGGGTTAGTCTTTCCATCTTTTGACAATTTTCCATTTTTGTTTTGGCTACAGAGAAGGGCCAGCCATTCCCTCTACGGCTCCTAGCTCTCCTGTCAGACCTAAAAAAGGTGTCCCTAACCCCAAAAGTATGGAAATGTTTACTTAATAGGGTTTCATTTTTTATATATAAATGTCTAGCCGTCTGGCATTTGCTTTTTAATAAAAAATTATTTTTAATGAAAACAAAAATTAATCAGTTCCCTCAATGGATAAACTGTTTTCACTCTGATGGAGCAGGGGAAAGCAGAGCCCTGCATGACCTAGCCCTCACCAGCACCCCGGGGCCAGGGCACAAGGCTGACAGTTTCTCTTACTTGCAACTTGGACATCGTCAATGGTGACCACCTCATCCAGCTGCAGCAGGAGCTTCTCGGTGAAGGCAGCCAAGTTGGTTATGAAAATCTGGCCATTCTTTCTGGTACATTCCTGGAAAGAACACGGTGAGCACAGTGCTGCTGGGATAGGAGGCCAGCTGAAGAGGGATTGGGTGGACTCTGCAGGGAGATCTGGGGACCCAAGCCATTATATCCACTGTATCCAAGTAACCAGCATCTGGCCCTCAGCCAGGAGGCCTCTCCCGAGATGTGGTCTGGTTTAAAGATAAGAAATGATTCAGAAATGGCCAAGGGACACACACAGACAATTCACAGAAGAGGAAATAAAACTAGGCATGTATCATGAAACAAAACTTATCATCAGTAATTTTGTAATTAATTAATTTAGAAGTCAAAAAGGATACAAATTACAACAGCCAATAATGGCCATTTTTACCTACAAAACCCACCTACTCTCATGCCTTCTTTGGCAAAGATGCCAACAAAGGGCTGCTCCCAGCACCATCAGTGGCTGTCCATTGGGCCATTTTTGGAGCGTTCCTGGACAGGGGAATCAATGGTATCACTGACCTGCAGCTTCTCCCTGTTCATCCTAATCATGCTGTCCAGCTCTTCCTGCCTTTTCTCTTCATTTAAGTGTAGAGACTCCTTTTCTTGGAAATGTATGGGGTGTCCAAGATTTAGATGGAGCTTCTGGGCATTTTTGTCCTTTAATCAAACAATCCAGAATTCAGCGGTGATGTTGACCCACCAAAAGTCACTGGCCTGTGTCTTCTGTCAATTATGATTATGGCCAGACTCATGCGTCCTCTGACCTGGGTGTGTGGGGGCAATGGGTGGGCAGAATAGTGGCAGAGGGGTTAAGAGGGGGATATGGCTGGAGCTGACTCAGGGGGTTTGGAAGAGAAAAGGCTGAGCATCTGCCCAGCACAATCAGAGCTTTAGTCCAGTGAAATCAGCAGCACCCATATTCCACAGCTCCAAGGACCATCTTGGACAAGTATTGTTATCTCAATGACTATAGCCCCATGGAACCTAGCACACCCATTATAGCCAACAAGAAGTTTATTGAGCACCTTCTATATCAAAGCTGTTGGCTCAGTTCTTATTTCGCCAGTGGCTACTGTCCCTCATGCCCCATCAAAAAATTCCAAGTCCAGCTTACCTTCTTCCCTTGGACGTGGCCCTGCCCACTACCTGCCACCATTTCTGAACTCCCAGTTCCCCTGGTCCTGGAGTGGAAGGGCTGGTCCAGGGGCACTCACCTTTCTTTTCTCTAGCTGCTTGTGGAGTTCCTCAAACCATCCTCGGATCTCCTTCATGGAGGTGCAAAACTTGTTCCAGTGGTGCTCCTTCAAATTTTCCATCACTAACCAACACACTTGGGGCAGCAGCTCCTCAAATCTCCTCATCTGGATTCGTAATTCTGCCAGAATTGCAGGTAGGAGGTCAAGGGAGGGAACAGAGTAGAATCAAGTTGTGGAGGCGATCTCTCCAACAAAGGCCCAAAGCAGCTTCCCAAAGAGAAAATCTTGGTCTCTAATGTGGTAATAGCTAGTCCATCAAAAGGGGCCCTGGAGTCAAACTAGTACAGAAAATATGATAGCCAGGTACAGTGGCTTATACCTGTAAGCCCAGTACTTTGGGAGGCTGAGATGGGAGTATTGCTTGAGGCCAGGAGTTCAAGACCAGTTTGGCAATATAGCAAGACCCTGTCTCTAAAAAAAATTTAAACATTAGCCAGGCATGGTGGTACATGCCAGCTACTCAGGAGGCTGAGTGGGAGGATATTGTTTGAGCCCAGGAGTTTGAGGCTATGGTAAGCTATAATTGCACTGCACTCTAGCCTGGGCCACAGAGTGAAACCCTGTCTCTAAAATAAAATAAAATAAACTAGTGGCTTAAATAAATTCAGAGGGCTCCTATATATTCTTCAGACTTCTCATCTCATTTAAAATGCATTGTATCTCTCAGCATTTTTGGCTCTCATCTATTATTTCAACTATTGCTTTGATTCTAGGTCTCCCTCTTTCTCTGTATCTCCAAATTGCCATATGTTAGGCCTGCTCTTTCATTCATATCTCTTTATCTCTCTCCCATATTTTCATCTCTTTATCTTTCTATGTTATATTCTGATTATTTTCTTTGGATTTGCCTTCCAGTTCACCAGTTCTACTTTCAGCTGCATGTAACCTGATAATAAAGTCATACATAGTTTTAAATTTTCAATTCTTAATTTTTCCTTCATAGAAGTTCTATTTTATTCTCTTTCATAGCTACTTGGTCATTTTCATAGTCTCTTGCTTCTAATTCATTTTTCCAACTCCCTCTTTTATTTAACTTGAAGTGTATTGTTTTATATTCTGTGTCCAATACTTTAATATCTGAAGTCTTTGCTGGTCTGCTGCTGCTGCCTTTTGCTCAAGGCAATTTGTTTCCTTGTGTTTATGGGAATTTTGTTGCTCTCTGTTTATCACTGAGTTGTTATTCTGGGCATTTTATCTGTGGGAATCCTTTGAGGCATGAACTGAAGGTAGGTTTTCCTAGAGAGAATTTGTTATATTGCTAATAGGCAAGCTTCTGAACACCACCAACTCAAGATCATTTTAAACTCAGGTATTAGTTTGAGGTCTTTTGGATGATCCACAAAAGCAAAACTGAATTCATGTTTAGATAAGTGTAAATTATCTAAAGATAAATTTAGAAACCACACAAGGGCTGGCATATAGTTCTGTATTTCTTTTTGGAGTTTTTTTTCTTCACCCAGTACCACGGTTTTTAATAAGACAGTTTCCTTCTCATTACTGGAAGGGAGAAAGGGAAGAGCTTGGTTTCTGTCTCATTTGCCTTACTCTGGAATCCCTGCTGGATTCCACCTTTAGGTAGCTTGCTCCTTTTAGACTTTCCGCCTTAGAGGTCTGTGGATTTGTCTCTTGTTCTCAATACTCTGGAGGCCATGAAAATAGGGGCTCAAGTTCACCTGGGAGTCAGCAAATGCCCCTAGGGTAATAACCAGGGTTCCTACTCAATTTATCCTCAGAGTTTCTATTTTACTTAATTTTTTGCTTTTGTGTGCTTTTCAGTTTACAAATAGCTCTCTAATGCATTTAAAAGATTTTATTATGAAAATATTTTATGCAGCATTTTACATGTTTTAGTGGGAGAGTGGATCCTCCATTAGCCAAGCTGCAGGAAATAGAAGTCTTCAGTTAACATGAGTTGTGAGTTTACCAGAGAGGGATGCAGTCTTCAGCATTTTCCAAGCCCATTTGACCATGGAACCTTTGTTTTGAGGACAATCATGTAGGATGGGATCCCACAGAGTTTACATGGGGGAAATTCTGAGCTAGAGAAACAAAACGATGCCTGTAGTTTCAAGTCCGGTCATTCAACAGATACAGCTATGAGTACTGTAGCTGCTTAATTCCCTGTACATGCCATGTCTGTGTGAGGGAAGGACTTAAACCTCAAGAAGGCCTTCTGTCGTAGGTGTTAGTAATATCTGCAGTCCACAGACAAGAAAACCGAGGCTCTGGCTGGGCGCAGTGGCTCATGTCTGTAATCCTAGCACTTTGAGAGGCCGAGGCGGGCAGACCATCAGAGGTTAGGAGTTTGAAATCAGCCTAGCCAATATGGTGAAACTCTCTCTACTAAAAATACAAAAATTTGCCGGGCATGGTGGCATGTGCCTGTGGTCCCAGCTACTCAGGAGGCTGGGGCAGGAGAGTCTCTTAAACCCAGGAGATGGAGGTTGCAGTGAGCTGAGATTGCAGATCATGTCACTGGGCAACAGAGTGAGACCTCATCTCAAAAAAAAAAAAAAAAAAAAAAAAAAAACACCAAAAAAAAAAAAAAAAAAAAAAAAAAAAAAATCAGACAGATGAAATCATTTGGCCAAGTTCATATAGCTGGGAAGTGGCAGTGCTGGGTCCTGGCCCAGGTCTCGTTATCCCCTAAACTCTCCTCCTTCTACCCAGGAGGCCTCTGAAACAGCACAGTAGACCACAGCAAAATGTGGCAGATTCATACAATAGAGTATTATTCATTGATAAAAAGG